CCGCATCGGTGTATGCAATGCTGCCCCTTTGAGAGACCCAGGTCTCCCTCGGTCGAGAACTGCAGTGGTCAGTCACCTCATCATCATGGCTTCCCTCAGACCCATCCCAAAGCATGAGGCCTGTTCTGAGAGGTGACTGCCTCCATGTAAAGGAAATGTGGTTTGTGTGTGTGTGTGTGTTTATGTGAAAGCAAAAAAAAAGGCAAACAGGAATAGATACTGAATTTAAAAGAGTTTTAAAAATCTTTCAGCTGACTATATATCTTAGGTGCTTTTAATATAAAGCAAATGTCTATTTCCCTCTAACTCCCCCAGGAGTTCTTCCTTTTACCCATCGATACGTAGATATGTGTGCTGAAAACCAGGGCACAGTTCAAATTCCGAAATAGATGATGCTGTTCTGTTATTCGTGGGAAAATGGAGATCTGTAAGTCTAATGGCTAGTAGAGCTCCATACATTTTAAATAAAAATTAAGATAGCAGCATAGTTTCAGTAGAATGCGTGTAACTTCGTAAACCAAAAATCCTTCACATTTTTGTGTTTGCTGGTTAAAGTTCGCTGCTGGTTGGTTCTCATTGCCTGTCTATGGTATTCATATCCAGAATTGTTTTCCTTTTAGCTTTCCATCTGATGAATACAGGTATCATCTACTTTTATAAAAACTGCTTAATTAAATATTTATATTCTATATTATTGGGACACCAACTCTGTATTAAGAAATTATCATTAACTGTTTTCACTTTGTCTTACAGAATGCCAATTTATTTCCACAATTTATAGCATATAAAACCTAAACACAGAGGAATGGCAAAAGTTCCTATAACCTAGGCACAAAGCCCTTGTGATTTTATACTTAGAGGTGTATAATAAGTGAACTGTGGCTCTCTACAATATAAAATAATAGCGAATTCAGCTAAGCAAATTGAAGTGCCTGTTCTGATAGTGAAATTTAAGAGGTTAGATCATTTGTTTGGTCCATATCGTTACTTGTAATATGGTTTACTAAATTTTCAGTAAGTAGTGATTTTACCTAACGAGTGAATAAAATTAGATAGCATTGCTGTAAATTTTAATGTATCAGGATATAATTCAATACAGGTTTTTGTCTGTAGTTGATAGAAGTTTGAGTAGAATTTTAGGGTGGCAATTTTATACATTATAAAAGCAAGTAATTTCTATATTCTCATGGACATTATTGAAAACTGCTATTAACTGTTAGTGTCAGAAAACATAAAGTCATTCAAAATTTTAGCAAGAACAGATGAATTACTCTAATTTGGAAATTGTAAATACACTCAAAGATTTACCTTTGCAATGATAATAGAAAATGAGACGCAACAAATTATCTCTATTCTATGCTCACTATATTCTTGATTAAATATCTCTTAATGTTTTTAAAAATAGCTCATTCACATTAATGGCCAATCTAGATTTCCCTGAAGGCTTCGCACAGAGGTGAAGGAGGGTCTGTCTCAGTCCGCAGCACACCTTTCCTAATTCACACTTGAAGTATCACCTCTTCTGAAGTCATGCTGAATGTTTATCAGTTTCTTGAAAGCTGAATAATAACATCTCAAACTATGATAATTAGTGTTTTCTCAGTTACGAGGCATGCAACCAAAAACTCTCCAAACCCTCTTCTAGAAGCTGTGCAGAGCTCTCATTCTCATGGCATGGTGGGGGCAGAGGTAGGGTTCTGGACATGTTCTGAAGTCTACAGGTCAGGGAGTGCTCCCGGATGGGGTTGGGGTGGGCATGGACTGAGGGATTCTGAGAGGGGCACTGAGGCTGCTGAAGGACCACAAGGGAGGGGCACCTTTGGAGGGTGAATTCCTAAGGGCTTTTAGTGGCCCTTAGGGTGGGGACGACCTTGACTGTGAAAAGGGGATTAGGCAGGGACCTACAGGTGGAGCCCAAACTATTGTCATTTCAAGGTACATCAGACTCCACTCTCCTCTCAGGGACCTGAGCTTTGTGGTGCAGCCATTACTGCAAAAATGGTGTGAAATGATCAGAAATGAAACCCAATCACAGCAGGACATATTTTTCAGAATTTTATTATGAACAGGGATAAAAACTATATAAAATGAAATTTATTAAAACTTATTAAAATCAATTGTGAACATGTGAAGACTCCGTTTAGAGCTTTAAAACCTATTTAGAGCCTGGCCGGTGCTGCTCAGCGGTTGAGCGTTGACCCTTGAACCAGGAGGTCAGGGTTTGATTCCCAGGTCAGGGCACATGCCTGGGTGGCAGGCTCGATCCACAGCAGGGGGCGTGTAGGAGGCAGCCGATCCATGACTCTCCTCCTTTCCCTTCCTCTCTCTGAAATCAATAAGAACATATTTTTTAAAAGAACTATTTAGGAATCTCATCACACATTTTTCCTCCACGCCCTTTGGTTCCTGGAATCTGTGCGGAGGAGCGGCATGGTTAAGCGGGAGGTTAGTGCTGTTGTGAAGCTAGGACGGCGTGGGAGGTATCCTGAGTCTCCTTCCTCCCACATAGTTCTCGAGTTGTGTGTGGAGTTTTGTTTTCATGGGCGTTTCCCCTTTTGTTATGTGACCAGGAATTTGGCAGCTGATCTGCTCCTGATGATTCCAGATAATGAACTTCAGCTGGTGAAGCTCTGTGCCTTCTACCCAGGCTGCGAGGAGGAGATGAGCGATCTCCACGAGAAGGTAGTTGGGGACGCAGCACCGTGACTTAACTCATTTCAGGTTCAGGGGTTGAGACACAAACAGAGAAGTAAAGATATGGTCTCCCTGGGGCCCTTGTATATATACAACAAAGACGATCCTAAGAAGTAACTGTTACTGAGCTTCTGCCCTGTGCTTGGAACTCTTCTAAACATTCATATGTATTTGTATTTTACTCTGTCCTCACGAAACCCTGAAAAGCAGGGGATATTGTTCCTATTGCATAAAGAAAGCGAACACAGAGGAGGGAAGGAAGCTGTTGCCTAAGTGAGTGAATGGTGGGCGAGACCACCAGCCTCAATGCCTGTCCCCGTCCCCACTGCTCCCCACTGCTCCCCTTTGCACTCAAGGTGCATGGATGCCAACTTTTAAAAGTAGACAGTTTAAGGCCTTTAAAAGAATTGATAACGTATAATGAAATTTGCATGCATTTTTCTTAAGTGCTTTAAAAGAATGCTCCTTTGCAGAATATAGGAATTTATGTACCAAGATTATATATAAAACAACCCAAGTGTTCCACAATAGGGAGGTTATATGTTTATATAGCTTGTAGGACATTTCTGTATGTTAGTGCTACTAATGCATTAAAAAGATCTTGAAGTTCTGTTTTTATTGACATCAGTCAGCTGTAAAACAAGTGAAAAGCAGATTATGACACTACGCACATGCCAACATGATTTTCATTCTGAAAATGACTGCACAGCCTATTTAAGAAGATAGTTCTTTTGAGAAAAAGATAAAAGTAAAAAATGTTCTCATCTTCAACTCTAAAAATAACGAAAATTTTTTACTTATATGAACCTTGATTTTCCCCCAGTGTGAGTGGCCCTACTCATTCAATAATGGGCACTTACTGAGTATTGTGTTAATATAGATAAACCAAGTGTGTGTGTGTGTGTGTGTGTGTGTGTGTGTGTGTGAGTATGAGTGTGTTTGTGAGTGTGAAAGTGTGTATGTGTATTTGTATGTGTGTGTATGTGTGTGAGTGTGAGTGTGATATCAGAGAAAATGCTTGTGAAAAGATAAATGTTGAGAGTTACGAATGGGTTGTGAGCTGAGTGACTTTAACTTCCTTATACGCTTTGTCTTCCCTGACTCGCTTTATAAATGAGCTGTGCTTTGCTCTGATAAACATGACAAATGAAAATTATTTTCTGTGGAAATTGATGCACATGGAAGGAAGAGGGGTGCTGTTTTCGGTTGCGCTTTACATGGCTGTGCAGTGTCTTACTGCACATGGGCATGTCCCTGGCCCAGGAGGCTTAGGGAGATTAGCACCTGACTGGGATCACAGCTGTTAAAGATGGGGCCGGAGGGGCGGGAAGGTCTCCACCAAGTCTTTTCACCCCACGCACATTCTAGAGAACATAATTACTGTCTCGTCAGACTCCATTAATAACTCTTCAGAAAGACTAGTTAGAATGTGTGAAGAAACGACTAGCTGGACAACTTCACAAGTAGTACAGACAATTATATATTCAAATATTATGTTACACAACTTCCAGAACTTTAAGATTCAACAAGAATTACAGGGGTGATCACCTTACTCCTCTTGTCCTATCCTATTTGAGTGGGAAATTTAAATGGGGACCACTGTTTTTACCAGTTAACTGCCACGCGTCCAAAACGGAAACCATCCCCTTTTCTTCCATATGCGCTGGAATATTTACAAATTTAAGTTACCATGATCTTCTTTACAAACCCAGAGACGTCACCAGAAAGTCTGATTTTAAAATTGGGCGACCAGAGTTGATACGCCAGGTTTGCGGCTATAGGCACGTGTGGCGTGTGGGGCAGGTCCGCCTCCTACATCTGTAGACGCTGATGGCGTCCAAGGGGTTCATCCCCTCTGCTCTTTGAGCGTTCCTCAAAGTGAAGAAGCCTTTTTTTAATCTAGCCAGGCACAATATCACGCACATAGGAGTTGCTCAATAAGTAACTGTTGTTTAGTGAGTAGAGATAGGAAACAATAGGAGATGTCATTCACATGAGAGCTCCTGTATTGTAGTTTGTGGTGATTTTTTTTCATCCCCTTTTCTTCCATATGCGCTGGAATATTTACAAATTTAAGTTACCATGATCTTCTTTACAAACCCAGAGACGTCACCAGAAAGTCTGATTTTAAAATTGGGCGACCAGAGTTGATACGCCAGGTTTGCGGCTATAGGCACGTGTGGCGTGTGGGGCAGGTCCGCCTCCTACATCTGTAGACGCTGATGGCGTCCAAGGGGTTTATCCCCTCTGCTCTTTGAGCGTTCCTCAAAGTGAAGAAGCCTTTTTTTAATCTAGCCAGGCACAATACCACGCACATAGGAGTTGCTCAATAAGTAACTGTTGTTTAGTGAGTAGAGATAGGAAACAATAGGAGATGTCATTCACATGAGAGCTCCTGTATTGTAGTTTGTGGTGATTTTTTTTTGAGAGGTTGAGTGATCTTTAATGTTAAATATATCCAATTTTTAAACAACAGAAACTATTGAGTAAATGCATTAGTAAGTAAGTGAATTGAATAAACCTTTTCGGTTACTTAAGGGGATATAAGAGAAAAGTGAGGGGAAGAGGGTGTCAGGTCCCCCAGGAGAAGAGACAGGTGACCTCACGGGGGTGAGGCACACTTTCCGGAGTCATAACACAAACCATTTCTTGCTGTGGCAGCTCATTGCAGTGGTGGCCAGAGTGGTGGGAGCCAGAGCATCCAACTGTTTATCAGTGTCACTCAGAAACTAACCAACACAATTCAACAATTTAACTGAACCAACCATGGACATTACTGGAATTTGATCCAGGAGATAACATAATTTCTGCCTCATTATGGAAGCAGAACTCACCTGCGGGAGGAATAGACTCGGTTTTAACCGGATTTTTAAAAATGGAGACCATGGGGAGTACTGCTTCTCATGCCACAGTGATGACATTCCATGGGCTCCAGCCCCACACAGTGTAGGATTTCCGGACGGCAAAGCTAAAACTTGTAGAGCTTGTACAATTCTTGAAATGAAGCTGCTTTGTCTCAGAGCCACATGAAATTAATGTATTGTGTACATTCGTTCTTTATAATGGTCAGCATATTTGTTCTAAAACAACTAATCTCAGCATTTTTTCCTAAGTTACAGCTGCAGGCACTAGTTCCAATATCACAACCAAGGCAATTCACTTCCCCCTCTTTTATTAGGTAATGGGTGATAAAAACCACTGACTCTTGGGTACCATCCTATTTATTATTATTAATTATTATCACTATTATTATTACACCTTCAAGATAGCTTCATAAATATATCTCAATACAAGTTATTTTATGCACATCTATTTTGAGCAACTTTCATAAAGAATAAATATGAAACTTATGTAGTACTTATACTGTTACTTTTATCTCTGCACATTTTGGTGATGTTGTCCTCAACCCGATTATTTTCTAGTGCAAGCTGCCCACCATAGAAGAATGTATGCAGTTAGCGGAGACAGCGCATGCAGATGGCAATGTGTTTGAAGCTGTAAAGTATTACTTGTTAAGTCAAGAACCTGAAAAAGCCCTTCCTGTTGGTGTTGACTTCGTCAAAGGTGAGTGTTTAGTTGGTAGAGACATTTGAAATCTGCTCATTTATCTCATATTTTCATTCATACTGCTAAAAAGCTTTCACATCAAGCACTAGCCACCCTACCTTGAGAAAGGAAAGACACTGCTGACCATATGGGGTGGGGCCTGAGAGCGGGTGGGTGGGTGAATGAATACCTGTGATTTGATCCCAGGGACAGATAGGATTCACCAGAAGGGAGCTGATCACATGGGTTCAACAGTGGGGGAAACATGACCTCTGCTACTTAGAGACTCTTCATTTCGTTCTGTTTTGCCAGAACACATCAGTAGTTCCGATTGGACTTTGGATACCATTTACCCCGTTCTTGACCTGCTGAGTTACATTCAGACTGAAAAGTTACTCCTGCCCACGTGTACCGAGTGAGTACCTTTCCCCAGAACCCATCACTCCAGCCACGTGGTGTTTCACGGGGGCTCTGCCAGTTTTGGTGTTTAGATCAAGAACTAAGATCGTCTTGGACAGGTAGAAGGACATGTCGAAAAAATTATGTTTTTATCTGTTGTCATCCTAAGAAAAAGTGCAGAGGTCAGTTTGAACCAGGAATCATAAATCGTAGTGGCCTCCTTTACTAATAGCGTTTGTATGTTTTATAGGTATGTACACACACATACACACCAGGTTCAAATGGGGTCTAATTTAAAGCTTTTGGTGGTTTTGGATCTCACAGTCCTGAGAAACTGATGGTCTTACCTGTTAACTCTCCATGTGTGCAAAGCATGCTGGGTTGGGGACGAAGTGAAAGCGCTAGGACGTCAAAGGTGGACGCCGCCCCCAGAAACAAGTGTCATTCAAGGCAGGGGTGGGGAACCGTCTCTGCTGAGGGCCAGTTGGATGTTCATGACATCATTCTTGGGCCACACAGAATTATCAACTTAAAAACTAGCCTGCTCTATTTGGTCAAACATTTAAATAGCTCACCCCTCATGCCTTGGCAGGGCCAGACCAAATGATTTCACGGGCCTTACACGGCCCTCGGGCCAGAGGTCCCCCGCCCCTGGTTCAAGGTCACTGTTCCATGTGGCTGAGGTCCCGAGACTGTGGATAATCTGTGATGGAGGCCTTGGGCCCCTTTTGCTTGATGCCCGTGTGGGAAGGTGACGCCGTGTCTGCACACGTGGCAGATCCTGGGCAGGAAGGTGGTGGGTGAGAGTCCGTGTGACGGGGGTTCCTACTCTGACCCAGCAGCTCCCGAGGGAGCGAGCGCATGAAGAAGCAGCGGAGCAACCGAGAAAAACAAGAAAGCGAGAGTGAGATAACGTTGAAGATCGGTGTTTTGAGCCCGAATTTGTCATAGCACAACGCCTGGCTGAGTTACCTGATGAAGGCAGCATCCTTGAGTTCAGAAAATGTTCTAAACAGACTTTGCTGTCAATGTCACCCATTAAAACAGAGAGACACAAGTACAGTAACTACAGATGAGAATGATGTTCTAGACTTCAAGGCACGGGATTCTTAAACCGAACCATCTTCCCCCGCAGAGCGCGGAACGAGCTGCTCATACTGAGTGGCTACGCGGGCGCGCTGCTGGCCGCCAGGAGACAGTACGCGAGCATCGTCCCCGCGCTCTATGAGTACACGAGGTAAGGGCACCCCTGCTGCCGGGAGAGGAGGGGGTTCTTCATTGAGCGGTGTCCCCAGTACTGCCCCACACGTCCTTATCCGCTCAGCCTGTGCTGTGTCATCCACACGGACGGGTGGGTCCTGCGTCGCCGGGCCCTGCCTCTTGGCCCAGCTCTGTCGTAGAGAACGCAGCCGCATCCCGTCCTCCCTGCCAGCTGACTGCTCTCCCGCTTGCTTTCTTACTCCCAACATTCATGTTAGTGCAGACACACACTGCCCTGCAGTAGCCGTGCGTGGCCATCCGTCAGCAGAGCTTGGCTTCTCGAACCGTCCTCCATACATTATGCAGCTCATGTATCCGTCCCTCCCTCCTCAGACTGTCACCCAGCCCACAGCTGTGGACCATCTATGACTCGCCAGCACTTACAGGCTAACTACACAGTGAGCAGGCGCGCACACACACACACACACACACACACAGGTATACACAAGAATTTTTGAACAATAGCTGTGAAATCTAAAATTGCAGTTGTTTATTTGCTTTTCTGGTGTCTTACTCTTAGATGTCAGCTGTTCATTTCTTTCTCACGTTGCAGTCAGCTGTTGAAACGTCGGGAGGTGTCCGTGCCTTTGACCATCGAGCGCCTCTCTGAGGAGCTGGAGGCCTGGAGAGCCTGCACGCAGCCCGTCCACCCGTGAGTGACTCTGACAAAGAACGGGAATGCTTAGTGTCGCCCACAGGCTCGTTCAGAGTGCGATCGTCGTCATTCGCGCGAGCGCAAGAAGGCCTCTTGGTTTGCTTAGCAGATATTCAGTAATAATTTACAATGCTGCCCTTTTTCTAAGTCCTTCATGTTTACTGTAAATTGCGTCTAAAGTTGATTTGGCATCATCTATGAAGGGGGGCTGAAAAGCCATCGGGACTGTTTCTAGTCTAAGCCTTAATGATTCCGTGATTTTACAAAAATGCAATGTGTGTTGACAACACAGATCATCAGAGGACTCTCCCTACATACCCGCTTCCGAGTCACAGAGAAGGGTGTACGCAGCCCTGCTCCGGAGACTGCAGGCCGAGCCGCTCAGAGGGATGGTGGGGCCGGACTATGTGACGGGGTCCCACCTTCCCAGCCATTCGGACGCTCGCATCTCTTGTCTCACGGGGTTAAAAATCCAGGTACTGTCTAATGGGGCTGCGAATTTCATGCATCAGGCCTCTAGTCTACAAATAATTTGTTGACAAGCTGTATTATTTGAAATCGTGCTCAGAAACCTGGTAACTTTAGAACATAAATAAGCAAGGTTTTGTGTTTTGAAAATCGTGCTTTTCCTTCTAAGAGCTGAGCAGTACAGATTAAAAGGGGTTTTTTTGTTTGTTGTTATTTTTTTGCATTTAGTTCTTCAGAACTGCCCTTGACATACGGACTAACTGATATAACTAAATTATAGCTCTGCTGGCAAATCACACGTTTGGCGCGATTTTAATTATACACACACACACACACACACACACACATACACACACACACACAGCAGGTTCAGAGGTTCCGGCTTGAATAACTTCCTAGCTGTATAATTAAACAGTGAAGTACGTTTAAGGCTATGACGAGGCATATATGCCTTTATAAAATGGTAACTTTGTAGTATTTAACATATTAACATTACCTGTTATCTCTGTTAACACTGCTGTATTTAAAGATCTCAAATTATGAAACTAAGTCCTATTTTGAAAGACTTCAGGATATATATAACATTAAGATGTTTTAAAATGTTTTTATAGTTGTAGCAGTTCAAAAGACTAATTTTTCTCATATTTTTGTTTTAACATTTGTATTGAATTTATTGGGGTGACATTGGTTAATACAATGATATAGGTTCCAGGAGTACAATGTTTAATACATCACTGTATATTGTATTGTGAGTTCGCCACCCAAAGTCAAGTCTATATTTTTTTAATTTCCTGTGGGCACTGTGCAAACATCACCCATGGGTTTTTCTATTGGAGGGATTGTCTCTGTTTAAAAACATGTTGCGGATTTTTACTCCTTTTCTTCCCTCAACTCTCGCCGTGTGCAGGGCCCCGTGTACCTCCTTGAAGATGGGAAATCCGCCATCTCCCTGAACGATGCTCTGATGTGGGCCAAGGTGAACCCCTTCTCACCCTTAGGGACTGGCATTCGCCTCAACCCGTTCTGATGGAAGGCTGTTCTCCGGCTTCATTGTGTCTTGAAGACCTTTTATTGGTTAGTATTAACCTTGGTTGCCCATGAGCTGAAGGTTGGGAGGAGGAGAGGGGGAAGTAGGGAATAACAGTCGATTTTATTCATTAAGTTCAAAAAATAAAATATTTATATACTTTTGAGAAAAAAATAGGTGTCTCCTTTATAAAATAGAATAGCCATATTTGGGGGAAAGGAAATATTTGAGCTATAAAGGACTGAATGAATCATCGAAAAGAGCACATAAGACTTTCACAAAGTGCAGAAGGAACCCAGGTATTTATTGTTGAGGCAGGAAAGGGTGTGACCCCTAGGACAGGGCTTGGTGTGCAGTACAATCCTACTGAACATTCGAAGGACCAGGGTTCCGGGCATCGATGCGGAAGGTGTGTGGGCTGAGCGTCCGTTCACAGACACCTACCTTGTCTTCTATTTCATGTACCATAAACCACTGGTTTTAGCTCATATTTAATAAAAGTTTACAGTTATAAGTTTAATATATATCAATAAATAGATACACAATCAAAATACTTTATTAATCCTCATCCAAGGATATTTTTTAAATTGATTGTATAAAGAGAGAGGAAGGGAGAGAGAAAGAAAAACATGGATGTAAGAGAAGCATACATCCGTTGCCACCCCTACACTCCCCATCCCCGACTGGGGATCAAACCCACAACCTAGGTATGTCCCCTGACCCGGAATCGGACCTGCAATCTTTTGGTGTTCAGAACGGACGATGCTCCAACTAGCTGAGCCACATGGAGAGAACATTACCAAGGTTTCTATCTGAAATTCAAATGTCCAATTATAAAGGAATCGGTTCTATAAGCATGAAAACAATTGGGGAGTGAAAACCAAAATGCAGTGGCATCTGTATGAGAATTTGCATTTTATGATAATTGACTGTTTTAAAAGAGACCGGGTATGTATAGATATTAATTTTCATTAATGCAAGTAATAGTGACATAATCTCTAATCGATTTATATTGACTATAACTGAATTTATTTGATGAAATTTAGTTTGAAGTAAATTTCCTGTAAGTAGGATATTAAAAGTTTGGATATATTATGTAAATTCAGGTTTTTAAAATATTAATTAAAAGAGTAAAGCTACAAAAAAGAAAAGCCTGAGGCATGGCCATAAGTATCTCAGTTGTTCTTGAATTCTGACTTTGCAATTTATTAAATTAATGCATTTCAGCAAGAACAGTACTTTTATACTCGAGTCGTGCAGAATTTATAATATAGATGTTTTTGTTTAATAATCGTGGTTATTATCTTTAAACTTGTTGCATTTAAAATATTTTAACATTTTTCTTAAACAGCTTCTTAAAACAGAAAACAATATATAATATATACCTATCTATCACATTGATCACTTCTAACTCCTCATTAAATTTCATTTTATTAAAAAATTAATATTATAAATGAGAATGTATGCAACTCAGAGAGGCAGTGGGTAATATAAAGTGTATCTGAGTATTTTTTAACCCTTGGTGATAAATGTAACTCAGAATTGTTTATTAATTGGCATATGTATACTAAAATTGCCTTCAAAATGAGTCTAAGTCAGTGGTTCTCAACCTTCTGGCCCTTTAAATACAGTTCCTCATATTGTGACCCAACCATAAAATTATTTTCGTTGCTACTTCATAACTGTAATGTTGCTACTGTTATGAATCATAATGTAAATATCTGATATGCAGGATGGTCTTAGGCGACCCCTGTGAAAGGGTCGTTTGACCGCCAAAGGGTTCGCGACCCACAGTTTGAGAACCGCTGGTCTACGTCCTACCATATTCCTCTTTATTTTGTTTTAAATAAAGAAGCCTATCTTTTGTGCTTTAATTCCTTCAAAAGCCATCATTGAGTTTAAGTTATACATATATAAATAATCACATTTTGTATTTTAATGAATGCAGGAAAATCATATTTTTATGTATAAAGTATGAAAAAAATCATGTAGCACATGAAGACAGTGGAGAGTAACCCACGTTCTGTCTGAAATCTAAACTGGGCTGATTCAAGTGCAATTCCGTTATGCTTTGACATCTACAGTGTTCTATACCTTAATGTTAATTTTAACTATGAATTCTTTGCAGAATTATAAATGTCATTTGACTATGTCAATCTGTATATATTGTACCTTGATATGAAAAAAAGTAATTTTTAAAATTATAAAAGCATTTTCCATGGTTAGATTTCATATGCATGAAAATCCAATAAATAATATGAGCTTATTTTACTATTTGAAGATGTCCATAGTGTGGACAAATAATTTTGCAGGTTTAAACCTGCCTTTATGAAGGAAGTCTCATAAGACAGTGAATTTTAAAAGGACTGGGAAAATTTTTTCTCTCTAACATTACCAGGTGTTTCACAAAATTGCAATATCAAAATGATTACATGTTGTGAAAGCCTCTGATTTTTATGTCAGTCAATTAATGAAACATACATATATTTCCACAAAACCATTCAGATGTGCTCAGGAACATGGTCGCATTAGCCATGACTGTGTTTTGTTGCCCCTATGGTAGGAAAAATGACATTTTTTTGGTCTTCAAAGGTATTCTGAATGTAGTAAACGCGTCACACATTATTTGTAAAATCCGGTATTTCCTATTTAGTGCACTCGTAACACGGAAGTTATGTTTATAGTGCACTCCTAGTGAGTGCTTATTGTACCGTCTCTTTGAAACATTTGTACGTAAATAAATTGAAAAACACTTTGATGCTGCATTGAAGCAGCATGTGACTGTGCATGTAGTTGTCTAGATTTGTGTGTATGTACGTATTCCAGGCCCCCCCAGGGAAACCAGATGTGACATGGTTAGCTGGTAGGATGCGCATCAGTCTTGTCCCTAACGCTCCACTACTTCCCAGGGGCACTGCAGGTGTGAAGGGTCGAGCTGTCCATCAGAGATTACCCTCCCGGGAGGAAGCCTACAAAAGTCACTCCATGGACCTTCAGAGGGAAGAACCTCCACTCGCAGGAAACAATGACTATGGAAACGGCCACGTGAGCAGGAGAGAGCAGCAGGGTCTTCCATGGCCCTGAGGAGCATTCTGCCACTTGATGGACAGGACCTGTTCCTGAGGCGGCCTAGCTCCCAGGAAAGCCCGCCCTCCCTTCCTTCCTTCCTTCCTTCCTTCCTTCCTTCCTTCCTTCCTTCCTTCTTTCCTTCCTTCCTTCCTTCCTTCCTTCCTTCCTTCCTTCCTTCCTTCCTCCTTCCTTCTTTCCTCCCTCCCTCCTTCCCTTCCTTCCTTCCTTCCTTCCTTCCTTCCTTCCTTCCTTCCTTCCTTCCGTCCAAGAGCCTCTGAGCCAATGGCCTTCCTAAGACATGCCCCAGCGTTGACATCTGGGCACACTCATCCTCGAAGTTCTTACAGTTTCCCGCTCTGCTCTGACTGTACCGGCTGCCCTCACTCACTCTCGGGGATGAAGCCTGGGGACCATTTCCTATCTCTCCCAGCCCTCCGCCCTCCCTCAGGGTCCTAGGGACCGGCCACAGGCCACGGGGGATGGGCTTTTCCAAGAGGTTGAACGCAGTGTTAAGAGGAGAGAGCAGTGTGTTTGACTGTTTATCCCAACCCAGGCCTTTTCTCGGGATCTTCAGCTGACTTCTTCCTAACACCCTTCCCTGGGGATCGGCAATGGATGGGTTAGTGATGATCCCCACCAGCTTCGACTTGAGATGTGTCCTGTTAGAACGCAAGGCAGCAGGTAGGGAACCGAGAGCTGGGTAGGACGTGCATTTGGACTGAATCCTTTACCGCAGATAAAACCAGATTCTAAACACCCTCCTAAGAAGTCATCTCTTTCATTGGGGCTCGCTTTAACTTCTTTTACTAAATATGCTCTCCCCCAAAATGTAAAATCAAACAAGGAAGTCTCCGGAGGTAGAAATTCTAATAAAACTGTGTAGGCCTTCCACACTGCAGGAAAAGTGACCGAGGGTAGCTGGAAACTGACCCACACACGGTGGGACTTACCACTGTCATCTGGGAAGCCAAAGGGACTGTGAATGGGATGGCGTCTCACAGGAGTGATTCCAGTTGAAGAAAATGTCCCAAATACGAACATAACATTACCAAAAGATGGAAGAGAACCCGCCTTTCAGGATGTCAGCCTGCTATGGTTTCCCTTCAGTAAGGGTGTGGGGGCTGGCAGCAGCCCGTGGGTATATTTAGATGGAAGAAATGGGTCGCTAAACCCCAGGCCAGTTTCTAAGTGAAGGTTTTCCTTCTCCGCAGCTCGGTCTCAAGGAAGGACGCCAGTTTGTAAGAAACGTTAACGGCTATTTATGGACCTGGGCAAGATGGTCTATGGGCCAGTGTACAAGGATCACCATTCAGAATAAATGTTTTTATTTATAGATGTGATGTGTAAATAAACACTGTCAGGCTGCCTAGTAACTCTTTTCTTTTCTAATGAGGAAAATATTACAGGGTACAGTCACCATTCCTACCAGCTCTCTGGGAAAGACCTGTTGCTGGTCGAGGTAAGTTGTGTTTAACTCAGCCGTGGGCAAACTACGGCCCGCGGGCCGGATCCGGCCCGTTTGAAATGAATAAAACTAAAAAAAAAAGACCGTACCCTTTTATGTAATGATGTTTACTTTGAATTTATATTAGTTCACACAAACACTCCATCCATGCTTTTGTTCCGGCCCTCCGGTCCAGTTTAAGAACCCATTGTGGCCCTCGAGTCAAAAAGTCTGCCCACCCCTGGACTTTAACTGCACCTTTACGGTGACCTGGGCTCATTCTGCGCTAATTAATTTGACTTTGTGTTTTCCACGGGATGTGGCACAGGTGATGTTAATAAACGGTTGTTGAATGGAATTGAGAAGAAAAAACAGCCCAAGAATAGATACGGCACCACTTTAGTTTACTTTTCACTGAAATATCAGCTAAGGCGGCGATTCTGTCCCTTTAACGTGGCAAAGGTGGCGGCAGCCCTTCTTCAAGTCCATGAGGGGTTTCCAAGGTCACCTGTCCAGGTCTGGACAGGCTCCGTCTCAGGGCCGAGAGAAGGTGTTCCAGGCTGCGTCCCCTGGATTGGTTCCCTAATTGCCAGCGTTGCCTATATTTGCTAGAATATTTTAAAAAAACAAAGTTAAAATCAATGCGTGGTTATTAACTATGTACTCAACCACCCACATTTCTGATATATCAAATGTACACACAGTGAAGGGCCGCAGGCGGAGACGGGCTCATCATGATAGTAGCCATAAATAAGAACTCGGCATGCCACCCACCTCCGGGAGCCGCCAGCAGGGCCTAAAAATACCCGCGGCTTATTTTGATCCCGAATATGACTCAGCTGTTTTTAAATGTTGCTTCAGAAACAGCTGAGGCCACTGCACACGACTCCAGAAGCCTTGCTGTGGCAGGCACAGTGCACACCCGCTTCTGGAACTCTGAGCATCCAGCTGGCCACCCGGGCCCTGCAGCTCACTCACTTCTCAAGGGACAGTCCCGTTGCAACTAAGAAATCTATATTCTTTGGCCCATCATGTTGCCTATGCTAGATTTAGGTAAACTGATAGAGGAAGTTAAGTGTTAGAAAAAGAAAAAAACAGCTTGCCCGGTGTGGCCCAGTGGTTGAGCATCAACCTAGAAACCAGCACCCAGATGGCTCCCACAGTAGAAGGAGGGCCCCAGCTTGGGAAGCTCCCCTGATGGGGCCCCATCTCTCTATCAAGAGCACAACAATGCCCTGGCCAGTTCAGCTCAGTGGATAGAACGTCGGCCCGTGGACTGAAGAGTCCCAGGTTCCATTCCGGTCAAGGGCATGTACCTCAGTTGCAGGCTCAGTCCCCAGCTCTGGTTGGGGCATGGGCAGGAGGCAATCAATTGATGTGTCTCTCTCACATTGGTGTTTCTCTCTCTCTGTCTCTCCCTCTCCCTTCCACTCTCTTTAAAAATCAATGGGAAAGCATCCTTGGGTGAGGATTAACAAGAAAACAAGAGCAAACAACGAGTCAACCAACTGTGGCATCATTTTAGACCGAAGGCTGAGACCAGCATTTTAGCTCTTTTTAAAAATGTCAATGAACACAGCAAAACAAACAAACAAACAAAATCCCTTTTCACAGATAAAAAGTTAAAAATGAAACCACAGCAAAAGCGCGTACGTAGAACAGGAACGTCCGGTGGCCTTGGATTCGCTGCTTTGGGCTTGTGGCGAGAGGCCTGGGCAGAGATGTGGTCCAGAGTGAGTTCTCCCACGGTCGGTTTGACTTCAAACCTGCCTGTAAAATAGACACAGACGTCGTTTCTTAGGAATTCACTGTGGCCATTGGCAAAATAAAGCCCCACGATTTAGAAATTCTGCAAATTGTGTAGACATCTGTTTCCCCATAATCCTAGGAGTGCGGAGACTACAGAGCTTAACACCCCTCTCCCTGCAGTGCTTACCTTCTTCATGCACAAAATAGTTGCTTTAAAAAGTTACTTTAAGCCCGGCTGGTGTGGCTCAGTGGTTCAGAGTAGACCCATGAACCAGGAGGTCTCAGTTCGATTGATTCCCGGTCAGGGCACATGCCTGGATTGTGGGATCCATCCCCAGAGTGGGGCGTGCAGGAGGCAGCCAATCAATGATTCCCCCTCATCATTGATGTTTCTCTCTCTCCCTCTCTCTTCCTTTTTGAAATCAATAAAAATATATTTTCTGAAAATCAAGGAAATCATAAGGCAGGAGGACAATGGCTGCTCTCGGTGGGAAGGGTAGAGAATGCTATCACAGAGGACACACAGGGGAATGTGAAGGCACCGGTGATGTTCTGTTTCTTACAAGGGGGTACACAAATGTATATGCATTATACGCTGCATGTATGATACATTTCGCAGCAAAACGTTAGTGTCTGAAAACTTCTCAAAAATCTGAACGTAAAATTTACAGTTCTGTCTCTGCTCAAATTCACAAGTAGAATAAAGAAGAGACACAAAAAATGACAGATGGTAGAACGGACACGATAAAGGAAGGACAAAACATCTGTCTCACAATTAATTAGGGAGGGAGGTCAGGTTGCGGCTCTCCGCTCCTTCCAGAGACTAGAGTAAGATGGCTCTTCGGAAAACTGGGTTCAAAAAGGGGAGAGAGAAATCCTGATGACCTACACCCGCCTCGCTCCGGAATGGCGTGGATGTCTAGGTGATGGCGAGGTCTCCCAGTGTCTGCAATCAGGAGGGTCAGGTTCCCAGGCATGAGTGGTGTCCCGAATAAGTGTCAGAAAAGCCACAGCAACAAGAAGACGCTGTGGCTGACCCAGTCGGCCTGGCCATCTCCACACCAACAGCTACTACAGAAAGGACAGCACTGACCACACCTAGAGAGCAGCTAGGGGTCAAGTACTTACACCCTGACAGACTCTTAAACACTCCTATCCTCCTGGGTATCTTGAGTTGATATGTGAACTTACGAATTCCCACAATATTTTACGTGAACAGATTCACTTAAAAGATTTTCTAAAAAGAAACGTGCTTAGACACTGGTAACCTATGCTTTCATCAAAACGAATGAATTATAACACTAACCACCCCGATGAAAAGAATTCATCCCACTGCTTGCACAACGGGAGTATTTCCTCATTAAACCAGTGACCGGAGACAGCAGACATGAGAGTCTTTCCTTCATCCGTGCCCAAGGAGCGTCATTGGGCACGGAGGAATTCGGTTGAGGATTTCCAAGGAAAACTTACTTGGATGCATCTTTCTGCTTAACTTCCTTTGCAACATTTGCAGAAGGAAGAGGAAATCGATTTTCAGTTCATTGCTGAGCAGGCTGCGATTGCTCATGAGTTCGGACAACCTAATGTTATCTTTAATGAACTTGGAGGCCGTGGACCTGGGGAGCAGAGGCAGTTGCATCTGGTAACTGTAGTCTGTGAAGTTCACAAGGTCTTCCTGGATACTTTGGGTTCTGGAAATAAAAAACAACATGCTGTTCACCAGGGTTTTATGAATGAGAAGTGTGTTACCCAAAGTTTCAGATGAAGCGGCGTTTGCTAGGAACCCCGGCTCACTCACTCCTGGTGTGTTAGCAAGCTGTACACCTCCTGGACCAGGATCTCCGGCACGCCGGCTTTGCAGTGGATCGTCCCGTAGATTAGTTCTCTGGGTAATCTAATTTTCTTTTTGGCCAGGAACTTCGGCATTTTAGGAATGAGAAGTGTGTTACCCAAAGTTTCAGATGAAGCGGCGTTTGCTAGGAACCCCGGCTCACTCACTCCTGGTGTGTTAGCAAGCTGTACACCTCCTGGACCAGGATCTCCGGCACGCCGGCTTTGCAGTGGATCGTCCCGTAGATTAGTTCTCTGGGTAATCTAATTTTCTTTTTGGCCAGGAACTTCAATAGTGGAAAGAAAACATTTGCATCGTGAGTAGTTTTATTCAAAGGTTCAATCGCTATGAATTCCCCTCAATCCCCCTTTTATCTCCACCAATTTTCTGTCTCACGTGTTCATCATTAAATGATGTTATTCGGCAAGAAAACCATTACACCCCACTCCCACGTGAAGTGAGCGTGTTAATAACCCTCTTTTCAATCTCAGGAAGCAAGCTGCCAACGCGGCAGTATCCCCTCCCAGCCCGCCACACACGTCTAGAAACCCAGCCCTTTAAAACAACCCACAGAGCAGTGACCGCCGTCAATGGTTGCGGATTTACCTTTTCCAACTGCGCCCAGTTATCCAACTTGACTCTTAAAGAAGTGCCGTTTTTAAAGGACGAGAGGCTAAGGTCCCAGGGGTAATAGATAGCGAATATTTCTGCTACCAGGAAGCCATTGGAAAAATCCCTGATCCGTGGCCAGAAGGAAATGAGAGAACATGTGGTTACTTATACCGTCTGTGCTCCAGTGAACACCAACCTAAGATTCTGTCCTGACAGCAAGTAACTGGTCTAGTGAACCCGAAGAGCCTGGACTATTTCAATACTCTTGTAGTCACCAAAGCCTTCTACCTATATTAGCATAGGCCTAACATTTAATGATCGATTGCTTGAATGAATGAATGAATGAATGAAAGAAATGCTCCACATGTTGTTTCAGGCCCGCTCCCTAAGGG